GGGCGGGGGTGGGGCACCTCCGCGGCGGGGGTCCGGGGGTCAAACCCCTACCCCGGCTTTGCCCCCGGGGGCCCCCGCGTGACAATCCTGCTGACAAGTGATTTTTTAAATTTTTATTTCAATTTTTATTTTTTTAATACCACCAGATGCGGTGGATGTTCTTTTCGTCAACGAGATTCAGAGTAGACATTGTGAGCGGTGATAGTGTTTGCGTTCAGTACTGGTCATGAATGTTTGCCATCAGGCTTCAGCACCTTTTTTTTTTCCACTTAGAAAGCACGTGAGTGTGCACGGCAAGATGCCACACACACACTTACCTTCTTCACCCGAATACAACATACTCCGTATGGGCATTCTAGCTGTATTTGGGGTATCTTTCAGCCTAAATTTCTCTAAATACAGCAATAATGACGGACGTTGCATTCGGGTGAAGAAGATAGCAGCAGCTCAGTGAATCTGCACATATAGCTCCCCCACTGCTGAGGTTACAGGATGGCGTTACCGATCATCTCTTTGGTGGGGAGGTCACACGTTCGATTCCTAGTGATTTTATCTTCGACTTGATCAGCGAAGGGTCTCACACATGTACAATCAGGCTGGGCATATGCACGCTAGGACTTCGCTGAGCATTCTGTGCGGACAGTGTTAGCTGATAAAATCCTACCGTCTTCGCCGGGGGATAGAATGCCGGGTCGTTATAGCTGTATTTGGGGCAACTTTCAGTCTAGACACTGTGAATGATTACTGGGTGTTCTGTTCGGGTGAAGACGGTAGTCTAGTGTGCGTACACCGTCAGATCCACAATGAGATTTTGCCCCTCCACCTGGCTCCGGTTGCTGAATGGTACGCGCATGTAGCTGTTGATAAACAGATCCAGTGTTCAAACCCTGTGTTTGGTACAATAAGGTTTTATGCATATACATTCTGGACTCACAATGCGGTTTTGCACGTGCAAAAAAAGGGGCGCACGATGAGGTCTTAGTGTAAAATGAGAAGATTGTTGTCCTCCAACGAAACGGATAGTTTGGATTTCTTCTTACCCCAAAGCAAATCCTCACTCAGGCAGAAGGATGTAGGTGCAGAGATCCGGCTGCGGTCCAACTGGATGAGTGGTGACATGATTGGAACGCTTGGGTGAAGGTAAGCGGGGTGAGCGAGGGGGGCTGTGGGGTGAATAGGGGGTTAGGCGGGTTGGTGGTTTGTGAAGGGGTCCCAAGAGGGAAAA